GAAGAAGAGGTACTCGTCGAGACAGCCAACCAGACGCGAGCAGACGGCAGGCTAGCGATGAAGAAGCAGATCTTGCTTTCATCCCCCACTCTTCGTTAGATCCCGTCATCATCATGCACGACATCACGCCACATGCGCAGGATTCCAACATGCGATGGGATGACCCCAATCCAGGAGGAGGAGGAGGAGGAGGAGGAGGAGGAGGAGGTTTGCTCAACCTTGGAGGAGCTTCTGGTCAGTTACGGCGAGAAGTTGCGAGAGGGTGGAGATGCCGCTGGCAGCAAGGAGCGACTTGTACTCGTACACCTGCGACCGAGTCAGGAGGAGGAGGAGGAGAAGGAGAAGGACGAGGATGGAGCAGAACAATATGAGCTGGGAGAAGACACGAGCAGGGCAGAAGAGAGAGGGGATAAAGAATGGAGGACAGTGGACTCGAAATGAGGAGGAGGAGGAGAAAGGAAAGAGACCTTGTCGTCCCCGATGTCTCTCCTGATAGACTCTAACAGAACTCGGACAGGATCGAGTTGCAGTGAGTTAGGAAGTGACTTGTGCTTGATCCTGAAGAGCAGTCAAGGAGGGGGAAGGAGGAGGAGGGCACCACGGTCAAGCGAACAGGAAGGAGGAAGAGAGGAGAGGAGGAGAAATCTCACCTGGACGCGTACACGTCGTTGATCTGCTTTCTGCCGCAGGCGAGGAGATGCGCTTCGATCTCTCGGAGGATGAGAAGCCTGTGAAAGAATGAGGCAGGAGGAGACAGGAGAGCACGAGTGTAAAAGAAGAGGAAGGCAGGAGGAGGGCGCGAGAAAGTGACAGGGCAGCAGCGAAGAGGAGAGAGTAGCGGAAAGGAGGAGAAAGACGGGAAAGAGGAGGAGGGAACAGTCGAGAAGAAGCAGGAAGTTACCGATGCTCTTCCTCTCTTATTCCAAGTTTCTCAAGGTCACTCATGGTGAGACCGAGGAGGGTCCGACCATCAACTGCGAGGGAGTGAGGAGGAGAGAGGAGGCGACGTGTGCGGGCACCTTCGTTCTGACGGAAGATCTCGCTGTGTGGAGGGAAAGGGAGGGGAAGGAAGAAGAGGCAGAGGGGGAGTGAGGAGATGGCAAGGGAAGAGTAAAGGGACGGTGGGGACAGGAGGAGGAGGAGGAGGAGGAGGAGGAGGAGGACAAGGAAAACAAGGAGTTAGGAAGAGAACAGAGCAGGAATGTCTTCACCAGTAGAGGTCGCAATCATTCGCAAATTCCATTCTGAACGTGTCGATGAACTTGACCACCTTTTCAACTCCCCAGGTCTCCGCGATGTGCTGAGCGTCCAACTCTCCGCCGCGTCCTCTCTCCTCTGCTCAAATTCTCAATCCCACATCTCCTGCACGCAACTGCTCTCACCTTCCTCCTCCTCCTCCTCCTCCTCCTCCTCCTCCTTCTCCTTGGATCTCTTGGTCTTCTTCTTGACTTCCTTAAGCTTGAGCTGCTTCCTACCCTCCTGCTTTTGATCCTCTCGCATCCTCACCGTCGGTTCAATTCGCCACGTGTCCACCTCAAAACCTCCTCCTTCCAGTCTTACTTCCAGCTCCCACACTCGACTCCACTTTCGATGCATCCCGTCCTCCTCCTCCTCCTCCTCCTCCTCCTCTTCCTGATCGCTCCTTCTTCTCGCCTTCACCTTCTTCTTTTCTCTAATGAAAGCCTGTGGTGTGCAGTCAGCACAAGGAAGGTCAAACATTCCCCATTCATGAGCATCTCCCCGATGTTTCCTTTCCTCCTCTCCTACATCGCCTGCTTTCTTGTACTCCTCCTGCTCAGATTCTGCTCCTTCTCCTCTGCCCACTCTCGACCTCTTCGAGTCCCCCCACTCCTCCTTTTCTCACCTGCTGGTAAACTTTGATCTCCTTTGCGTGCCTTGTGATTTTTCCTCTCAGCAGCAGCGAGCTGGCAGAATGTCAGTGGGTAAGGAGAAAATCCACCAGGTGTCAATTCAAGTTATCAAGACAACAAGACGTTCGAATCAAGGCAGTCAATCTCACTTGCTCTCTTTCAGCTGCTCGATGAGATTCATAGCGACTTCCCTCGGGCTGTCAAACGTGTTATCTCCTCTCCGTCAGCGACCAACGAATCAAAACCACCACCACCACCACCACCACCACCATCACCACCACCATCATCACCATCATCATCATCATCATCATCATCATCATCATCATCATCATCATCATCATATCATCATCATCATCATCATCATCATCATCATCATCATCATCATCATCATCATCATCATCATCATTATCATCATCATCATCATCATCATCATCATCATCATCATCATCATCTCGCTGCTAACCTCTTTCCAGGCAACACGCCTGTCTCAAGAATGACTTGTGCAACGTCCCAGTCAGAGTTGAGGCGAATGACTCGAATCTGAACATTCAACACGATAAGAAACCAACTTCAATGACCTGCTCCTGCTCCTGCTCCTGCTCCTGCTCCTGCTCCTGCTCCTGCTCCTGCTCCTGCTCCTGCTCCTGCTCCTGCTCCTCCCTCCTCCTCCTGATCATAATCACTCGCACCACCACTGACCTTATCCACAGCTCCTGCAATGGAGTATGCGATGTCCTGGCAGAGGGTCTCCCGCACTTTCCTCTTCCTCACGTCCGTCAGGTGTCAAAAGGGCGGCGGCAGTGAGCTACCAGGTCGTCGGAGGGGGTCCCGATCCTCTGGCTGAAGGAAAGGTCGAACCTCATCGGTTCCTTCGCCAGGAAGTCAAAAGCAGGAGGGCACAGCGAGGAGGAGGCAAGGGGATGGGAGCGAGCAGGGCGACAGAGAGGGCAGCGATGAGGAGACGTGGGGAGGGGAACGAGGGGAACGAGGAAGCTCGGGGCAGAACCTACCTCCTCGTGGATCTCATCGTCGGACAGGCGGCAGTGGTGCCTTCCAACGTGTCAGATCGGCGACCCCGGCACTGCTCCCCCTCACCAGAACATCCTCGTGCAGCCCTTCATCTTGTAGTTCACCTGAACTCCCTCCCGTCACCTCCCCTCCCCTCTTCCATCCTCTGCTGGACCTTCGGAGCGACCCTGTGCGACCCAGCCTGACCTGGAACCTGAGACGCCAGCAGCGTTGTCAAAACGACCGAGTTGGTGGAACTGAACTTGAGTCTCGCCACCTTCTCCTTCGCCTCCTCCTCCTACTTTCCCGTCCTTGCAAACTTCCCTCTTCCTCTTGCCCCCATTCATTCTCTACATTTCCTCTCCTCCTTTATTTCCTTCCCCTTTCCCTTGCTCCCCAATGTCCACTTCCTTCCATCTTCTTCTTCCTTCTCTTCTTCACATCATCCTCACCTTCCACACGTCGATGCCGTAGTCACATGCGTCGTTTCCTGCTCCCACCACAAGTTGCCCGACGTACCATTCATCAGCGTTTACCGATCCGATCCTCAACTGAGAGGAAAAACAAGTGTAAGAAGCAAACAAGCTCTTCAACCTCTCTCTCCCCTTTGCCCTGCAATTCCTCTTTGCCATCTGCACGTTTCCAACGACCTCTCCCTTCCTTCTATCGTATTTCCTTCGTCCTCCCTGCTCCTCTTCTCCCGCCTCTCCTCGGTACCTTGCTCTCAGCATTCTTGCGGGAGGATCGTCCTGTCGTGAGAGAGAAGCCGATGTCCCCGTCGGGTCTGATCCACAGTTTGAAGGCTCGGTGGTACTTGGAGTTGACATCGCCTGAGGTTAAATCCACGACCGCTCGGCAGCCGCTCAGAGGCGGCGGAATTCGGAAGACAAATCTGAGGAGAAAGGAAGAGAGTAGGAATCAGGGATCGCGCTGAAAGAAAATTGACGTGAAGAAGTAAGGAGGAGGGGGAAGAGGAGGATAAAAAAGGGGAGGGGGAGGGGGAGGGGGAGGGGAAGAGCAGAGCAGACGCAGAGGAGAGCAGAGCAGAGCAGAGCAGAGAGGGAGACAGAAACACTGAAGGAAGGACTATTGAAATAGTCATACCTGACGATCTGACTGGAGCTGAGGACCTTGCAATGCCTAACAGCGCTCTTCCCCTGTAGCTGCATCTTTCCGTTCTCCGTGAAGATCCTCACATCGCCGCTCACGACGGCCCATGAATCGAACCTCTCAGTCTGCCTCAGTATCTCCTCAGACTCCACCGGCCCTGAGGAAGTAGACGATTAGACGGCAAGAAGGTTTCAAGGCGCTGCAAGAGTTTACGAGTGACCCGGTCGGTCAGATGGCTATGAAGATGCTCAAGAATGAGAAGGAAGGAGGAAGAGGGGAAAAAGACAGCAACGATGTCCTCGCGCGGGCAGAAAGTACAACTACCTGGTTTGACTTCATGGAAATATTTCGGAATGGACTGGCGTAGGTTCTCTTTCTTGGAGCTTTCAACTTCTTTGCCAGGAGCCCGATGCCATGACATTGTTGGCGTCGATGATTGCCACAAAGCTCCTCCCGGGATCCAAGGGTCGCTGGCGAGAAATGCGGAACGTCAAGTATGCAAAGCACAGAAGGAAGCATCGGGTACCGAGATTTCTTGGGAGTCGTTTCAGAGTCATTGAGGATTTGCAGGCTGGGAGGAAGCCTTGCCTTAGGGACCGCAAAGAGGGATGAGCCCAGACTCTGACGTTGCAAAGGAGATTTCAATGACCCTGACGCGGATAAGGGCCTTGGCCGAGTTGGAGCACTGAGCGCTAAGTTCTTGCTCTCGTTCCCAACCCTCTCGTAGCTCTGCTGTGATTGTTTCTGGATCTTAGAGAACAATTTCAGCTCTCTTTCTTTGATCTTTTTCAGCTTCTCCTTCAATTCTTCGATCTTTCTTGTCTCGACATCTTTGTCGTCCAGGTCAATTGACTTGGTCTTGAGCATCTTGATCTGTGTTCAAACAAGGGCGTTACAACGTCATCAGCACCCTTTCCAGTTCATGCTGCCTGCCTCTCCCTGCCTCTCCCTGCCTCTCCCTGCCTCTCCCTGCCTCTCCCTGCCTCTCCCTGCCTCTCCCTGCCCCTCCCTGCCTACCTCCCCGCCTCCTTGTTTCCCTCCCTTTCTCCCTCCCTCCTTCCTCCCTCCCATTCCGCTTCCGATCGTTTCCGTTGCAACGTCTCGTCAAATTTTGATGTTTGAAAGTACACGGGGTGGGGTGTGAGACGTCGTGGTGAGGGTCCTGTCATTCTGATGCCAGGACGATGTGGGGGTAGGGGTATCTATCGTGGTTAAGGAAGGGTGGGGTTCGGGAAGACGTCAAGAATCGAAGAGACGATGTACACTTACCGAGGGCGCATGCCTAGTAGGATCTAGAGCAAGGAAGGAGAGCAGGAGGGAAAGAGAGCAGGAGGAAAGACAAAAGAAGGAATTACAGAGACGAAGGAAGTGGCAATACAGCATGAGGCGATTCGCAAGGAAGGAAGTCTCGTTGTGGAGTTCCTGTCACATCATGGAACAACAAGAGCGAAGGACAGATACCTTGAGGATTTTGAGATCAGATGGATCAAATCCGAACGAGAGATGGGCATCAGGGACTGATCTCTTCCATGCCTGCAGGTCAAACTGATGTGGCAATAGATCTCGCAGATCCGTCGACATGGTCTCACAACTCGAGCTTGAGCAGTACGTTCATCCCTCAAGGAGCTCCAACGTGAACGTTGAGAAGGTCAGACGCCGACTGCCCTGCCAGCGAAAAAGATTGCTTCTTCTGATGAAACAGGCAGATATGCCAAGTTGCCAAGACGAAGCTCAAACATTCAGAACTGGCCAATGGGCTCATCAGGTGAATTGCAGTGGTAAAAGCTTTCATTGTAGAACATTCGCACAGGTTTTTGATATTTGCAGCAATCTACATGACAGTCATTTACTATCAGCGGAATTCAGAGATGGTAATTTGGATCGTGGTTTGCTGATGTTGTCTCATCTGCTGTCCCGAAGGCGTCCGACATCGATGGGATGCTACGAAAGATTGTGTTAGAAACTCAGTGCGTTGAATGATTGTACACTTCTTCTGCACTTTTGACCATGATGGAAGGTATCGAGATCCATGGAGCTTTCAACAGAAAACTTTTCAGGATATATCTACCATAGATGAGTTTTGGGATGTGAGATTTTCTATTTTTGCCTGCTTTGCTGCTAATGTATACTCTGCAAGTGGCATCTATACGCCCTGTTGCCTCGGATATTGCAAAATGATTACTACAACGGTGATCCCGTTCCGCAAAATGATTATGGAACAATCCACATGGTGAGATGCTTTGTGGAGTGCAAGAGATGGAAATGAAAATTGTTGGTCTGAACAGCATAGTCGGATTATCAATGAGATCAGGTTGATACAGAGACGTGCCAAGAATGGAACTTGTGATGCACTCCCGTACCTCTCTAATTTCTCCTCTGAATGTAAGGAAATGATCTCTGCGTTATCTATCGCGACTGCTGATTGTCAAACCATGTGACTGAAATGTCTGACCTTGAGGCTACGGGAGCACGTACTTCGACGGCACCTGGGGCAACGTTGACACCGAGTCCTTCATCGGAAGGGATGAGAAGTCTGTGTATGTTTTCGAGAGCTTTCCTTCTGGCTCACCAGGTGAAGAATCGTTCATATCCCCGGGCTCACGATACAGAAATTGACTTATGCTCTGCAAGGTATCCCAAGCACACAAGGTTTCTTTCAATACCTTCCAAAGGATTTCAATCAAGCTGTTGCAAAAGTGGGTGGTCATGTCAAAAAGCCCCTTTGACACTGCTCCAGATACGTGAGTTAAGGATGAACGGGTGGATCAACGAGGGAACCCAGTAAGCCTTCTTGTGCTTGCTTCACTCCATTGACGATGGAAATACAGGTTCTACAGGTAACAAGGAGCAAAGAGTGATTGAGATAAGATGTAAAACTATTTGGATTTCAGTCTTGATTTCACCGTCTACAATTCAAACTCTCGTATAACTACATTCTGCTCTTCTTGCCTTTTGACCCTTTCTTACAGGTCTGTTTGCCACGGTGCTCCTGAAATTCTGGATATCTAACACGGGCAACTTCAAGATGGCATATGAGGTGATGTGATCGCTTCCTACTCTCTTTCTTATTCATCATCTCTTCACAGTGCTCTACCGTCCCCTCAGCTCTCTATGAAGCGTAACGAGTCTGATGCTGCTTCTTGCATGCTAAGACTTGTCCCTGTCAGTTGGCAAGACTACGTGAGGATGGCAGGCGAGCTTATTGTCGTCATCTTCTGGCTATTCTTTGTGAAGCGAGAGGTCGAGCGAGTCGGCGAGCTCGCCGAGGAGTACGGGTACTTAACGGCCTACCTGTTTCACAACTCCATCAACACCATTAAGGTAAGCAACGCTTGCCCTGGAGGTTCAATGCTAGCAGATCTCAAGGTGTACACGCACAACAGATCCTTCAAGTTCTAGACTTCTTTGCCTGTTTTGTGCTTTGGATTGTTATCATAACGGATCCTGTCCGAAACAACCTAGTGATAAATACGGTAACATGCATTCTTCCATGCTACGGTCCTTTTAACAGGTCATTGATGTGCAGAATGAGATCCGCCCTTTGAATGGAAAGTTTGTTGATTTCACTTCGCTATATCTCAAGTTCTTATCTTATACTTGTGATAGAGGAGACAAGTAACTTGAATGGCAGGCTGAAACTTTACTTCATTTGCACAAGCTTGCAGATTGCTTTCTTTATGTTTCGCCTTCTGTACTGTAATGATGTGACAGAAATATCAAATCCTGCTACTAAGAAGTCCCTTCCAGATTTCAACATGAACTACACTCTCTCAAAACTAACAGCGACGTTTACAAAGATGAAGTAGATTTGCACCAATATTTGACAACTGTAAGGGTGATTGGCTTGCAGAGACGGATTCATTCTCTTTTCCATCGTTTTGTTGCTTCTGTACATCGGATTCTTGCTCATGGGAATGCTGATGTAAGCTCTCCACTGCATGTGTTCTCCCGAGACTGACATTTGCGTTTCGTTTCAGCTTCGGAGACAAGGTATGCTGCAAATCCTTCATGACAGATATCTCCAACTCTCTTGTCTCATGGCATTGACGAAGTTTGACCACAATGACTAGTTCGAGGGCTTCTCCTCCTTCTCTCTCGGCCTCATCACTGTCTTCGAGTACATGACAGGCTCCACCAACTACGAGGAGGTCAGCAACTGATCTGCCGCAATCCCCGCAAGTCCTGATACTGATCTTCCCCGGCCAGCTGGCGCAAGTTAGCGATGCAGGAGCTCCCATCTTCTTCTACCCTTTCATCTTCATCATGGTCATCGTAATCCTCAACATCACCATCGCCATCATCATGGACGGATACACTGCCATGTGCGAGTCACGCAAAGAGATGGAGAAGAGCGTGTTCAAGGACCTGGTCGATTACTCCGTCTTCTCGCAGGCGTGTTCAACTCTGCATGTAGCAACAGTCTTTCTACTGACAGCACCGTCGATGTCATCTCAGATGTACTGGGGCTTCTTGAGAAGGATCTACTACCTCCGCGGTGTTCTTCCCCAAGACTTTCAGAAACGACTAAATCGAACCTCCAAGCTCAAAGTCTGCGGCAACTCAATGCACACAAGCCGAGACTGAGGCGGTTTGAATGCAGATCTTGCAGTATTTCCGAGGTATAGAGAGCAAGACATGCGTCGACTTCTATGTGAGAGCGGCGATCTGTCATTCATGAATTCTCACTTGCTCCTCTCCTAGGAACTGGAGTCACTTGTGGCGATGAATCACAATGTCACCAGCATGACGCTGATTGACATCATCAACGAGTACGATGGTGAGCTACCACGATCCCCGCCTCCTCTGATCAGCTCTTGCAGCATGGATACCCAAGAGCCACATGGAGAAGGTCGCAGAACGGGTTGAAGCACACCACGATCCTGGCAAGATGGACGCTGTTCCGCAGGCCTTGCAATCCTTACGGGTTGCCGAGTCACTCCGGGGAGAATGTTTGCGACTGACGATCATGACAGGAGATCTTGCGGGAGATTGCGAACTCTAATCAAGATCTGCAAGGGTGAGACGGGATGGAAATTTCCACAGCTAACCAAATGTCGCAGTCGGGTCGAGGCATTGCTGCGCAAGGTTCCTGCAGACCCTCACGATTAAAGTCTACATCACACCTTCCGTCGTCCTTCCTCCATAGCTGCTGGCACTCCCTCAGTCAAGCTCCCTCCAGGAGTCCTCTACTCTCGCTGCTCTCGTCTGAACCCTTTCTTCCCGTGCACCTCTCTTCAGTCTCCCTCTTCTGCCTTCGGAAATCCCCCTGCTCTTCCTCCTCACCTTCTCGTTCCCCATCCGATCTTTCCCCCTACCTATGAATCCTCCTCCTCCCTCCCTCCCATCCTCCCGTTCTCTCTTACCCTGCTTGGCCGATTCTGAAAATGGACTGTCACTAATGACCTAGATACTTGCAGGACATTGCTCCCTTTGCCACTGATTTGCGAAAGATGACCGCCATGTTTGATAGACTGCTTCTTGACCTTTAAGCTCCCGACTATGACCCTGGCTTGCACACCCATCGAACTATTCTTGCCCTTCACGTTGCAACATATGGACGTAAGGGAACTTTGCCCCGGAGTTTCCAGGAAGACAAGGGGCTATAACCAATATGTGTAATGGCAATGCCCAC